AATATTAATAAAATCTAAATCTAAATCTAAATCTCTTCGGCGCTTCCGCACATGTGCATGGAGAATACAGTGCTGCACAACACTCCACCGAGCAGCTTGAACGTCGCAGAGGCATCATGTAGATAAGGACGCATGCGCATGTGTGTGTGTGCTACATGCATTCATGTGGGGGATGCTGGGCCCCGTTGCACTGTACCGGTTGCAACGGGATCCAGAACCCACCACTGTTTCATCCCTACTTGATACTGATGTATTAAGTATCCAGATCATCATTATGTTAAAAGTTATTCTTTTACTACAGAATTATTCTTAAATTAAAGCTTTCCTTCCCAGATTTCTTGTGTCATATGTCAGCCATTTTATATGCTGATCATGATACTCTTTTGATTTCTGCTCTTTATTGATATATGTTCTAACTTCATACTATTAAATTATAATTGTATCATGATTACATAAAATCATCCTAAGTATAAAATATATAACAGAATAACAGTTGGAAAGAACCTTGGAAGTCTTCTAGTACAATCCCCTGCTCAAGCATGAAGCTTTGTATCATTGGACAAAATGGTTGTCCAATCTTGTCTTAAAAACCTGGTGAATCCACAACTTCTGAAGGCAAATCATTCCACTGATTAAATGTTCTAACAGTCAGGGCATTTCTCCTTTGTTCTAAATTGCTTCTCTCCTTGATTAGTTTCTATCCATTGCTTCTTGTTCTGCCTTTAAATGCTTTGAAGAATAGGTTGACTTGCTCTTCTCTCAGGTAGCCCCTTGGATATTCGAACATTGCTATCATATCACCCCTAGTCCTTCTTTTCATTAAAGTAGACATATCCAATTCATGCAACTTTACTTCATATGTTTTAGCCTTCACCCCCCCCCCACTCATCATCTCCTTTGCAAAAGCACTTTTTCTAGAATCTCAACATCTTTTTTATATCGTGATGACCAAAACTGGATGCTATATTTCAAGTATGGTCTTATGAAGACATTATAAAGTGGTTAAAAAAATTACATAGATTGCACCTTTTGCAACATTTTAATTATCTTTTTATAGCAACAACAAGTCAAGACTACTATGCCAACTTTTGCATTTGTAAAGCATAGAACTTAAAAGTTAAAGAATTGAATTATTTGAATTCCTCATATTTATCACTTAAACACTGGTATTATTTTGACTATCCAGTCAGAATGAATATTTGATCAGTGTTCCCATAAAGACAGGTTCTTATGTTTTTTACGGACAGAAATAAATTATGCTGCTATAAATGTGGCATTCAATCATATTCAATTAAAAAGCATATAATTGAGGAATCTGTAAATCCCAGAATTTGGTATTGGTTTCTATGATTCTCCATGTCTGTGACAAGAGATTTTGGAGGAAATAACAATTGTAGAGTTTCATAGGATTTCCGATATTTGGGATAGTCTGATGTGATATATAATGCTTCTTTATATTAATAATTGCCAATAGGGAATGACTGAAACAATGCCTTTTTACTGTTGTTGTTGTTGTTATTAGAATTATTGAGCACTATTTGACACAACTCATAACAGTAATCAGAATGCGTTAGCACATTCAAAGGCATGACTGATGAATAGGATGATTCCACAGAGGAAAAAGGCAAGGCTAAAGTACAAGAGGCAGGGTAATCACAGTTCAGTAGTAGAATCATATGTTTCATGCAGAAACTGCTAGACTCATTATCTGGATTCTGTACTCAGAGTTGGGCAAGGCTTTGAGTTGAGTAAATTTCAATTTTGATCAGTTTCTCGTTACTCCAGCCTTAATCTTGTTGTGCCCTGCTCCATCTATTAAGCAAATCTCTGTAATAGAACCTCCAAATTTCAACTGACCTGGAAAATAATACATATTTTAAAAAATCCTCCCACTTCTCTTGGCTGTCAAGAATTAAACTGTCAATCCCTGGGGTGGGTGCACATCTCTAAGTATTTATTTATTTATTTATTTCAACAGAAAGTAATATATGAAATGAACTTTCCATTCTGGCTGATTTCAAAAGTGACTCACTCACAATGCCCTTTTTAAAAAAATCACATTAATTCCATCCCATTCCCACTATGGTACAGGACCAAGCAGTCTCAGTTCTAGAAGTGAAACAGCTCCCAAAGAGGAACCGGTTCTACTGGATGGAAGAGTCACCAGCCAGGCCTGTGCTTCAAGGCAAACAACTCCCCAATCTGGACCAGTTTCACAAGATGAACCACACCCAATTGGAAAGGGTGCTCCAAAGGGGCCACTCCTGAAAGATGTTTGGCAGAGGAAAGTGTTTCCCACACAGTAGTTTAAGAGACGAAAGCAACTCTGTTCTTATAGGAACCTGGATCTGTAATCATCATTTCTTAAGGAGAGGTTTTGGAAGGCTGCTCGATTTTAAATCCTAGCATGCCACTTGCACTACTGCACATAGAATAGTCCTAATACACTTTATTACAACAGAACAGTTTGCCTACTATCATCCACCTCGTTTTCAGGAAGGTTTCCAATGCTGGCTCATATATGCATGTCTCTACATCTTCTAATTTAAAATAGTTAGATGAAACTAAATCTAGCATGCAATTACTTCACAGAACTGCTGCAGAACATATATGAGTGTATTAAAGTCATCTCTTTCCAAATAGTTAAAGCAACCATTTTCAAGTATGCACTGTTTCTTCAGAAGCTGTTTCCAGCTGTCTCTAGAAATATGTTCAAACATAATCATACAGTCCCCTAGACACTGTCATGTGAACCTGGAGAAAGACATAGCTGCTTTAATGATTCCATTTGTACATAAAACTATAGTAAACTCTATGTTCTGTTTAGGTGGGCATTCCACAAGAGAAGCTGAACCATATAGTTCACTATCCAATGTTCATGAGTAGTTAGTGTTCAGAATTGGTTAAACATTCTAAGAGTATACAAATTATTATTGAGTTTCTTTTTATTCTAATGGTTGAGGTCTTTTAAATATCTGTTAAGTAAAAATAAAAATAAAAATCCTGTTGGAATTTTTAGATCTTTATAAGTAGTTTTTCTTTGGAAGAACTCAATCCTTGATTAGACATTGAATCATGGTGCTAAACATTCAGCTATCAGTGGTGTAGCAGGGTAATATATTAATAAACAACAACAGTATTGATCTACTCTTAAATATGAATACCACTTGTTTTCTTACTCAAGGATTCTTTATACATAACTGACACCAACACCATGTAATTCTGATAGAACTACTTCCTAATTAGTGTGCTTAGGATTGTAGTCCAAATGTCTTCCTATCTCAGACAAATTCTATTAAAGTCATATGAAGGTTCTGAAGTGATTATTATTATTAATTATTATTATTTTCAAGGTGATGGAAACCAAAATGCTCCAACTGAAATTTTCCTTATGCTGTTTATCTGTCTTTACTTGCACATAATTTCCTACATCATGGGGCGCACAGACAAAACATGCACAGAGACTTACTTGGAACGACCTGGTCCGTAGATTGCATCAGGCTTGCTGGCTACAGGCTGGGCATAGACTGCATCTTGCTTGTTAGATGCGCAAGAGGGGGTGCGGATTGGAATTCTCTTATTTGACCTTGTTAGGGTTGTAATTCCTTCCTGGGTGTTGCATGTATTGCTGTAGAGGCTGTTACGATGTAGACTGGCCTTGTGATTCATCCGGCTTCCACTCTGATTTCTCCTTAGTGTGCCTCGTGGAGGGTCATTGTAGAGGTCTGGCTCGCTCCGACTACTCTTCATGTTCTGCACAAAGCAGTAGTCGCTGCCAGCATGTGTAGGACTACAGATCTTGTTATAATGCTTGCTACCCCAACCGTCCATTTGGCTGTAGGAACTGTAGCGTTTGTTCTCAGCTGCATTTCTTTTGAGTGTTCCATTGTACATCTGATGGACATAGAAAGAAGGCAGAAGGGAAGGAAAACCAGCAAATGTCTTTGATTAATGTTATTCTTCACTTGATTGACAAAGGAAAAAAACTGGGAAAAATTGGATGCTGGACTCAACGAAATTAACATTTATTTGATAGGAACAATAATGAATCATGCTGAATAAGGAGTACCAGTCAAAAACAGGCTGCTCCTAGAAATGGTATCTGAGAGTCAATATTTTCAAAATACAATTCCATGATGGATAGTCACTGCACTCAATAGAGCAGGGGTCCCCAACCCCCAGTCTAGTGACCGGCACCGGTCCATGGCATGCCAGAAAATGGGCTGCGCAAACAAGCAAAGCCCCATCTGTGGGATGCAGGCAGCACGCAAACCCCATCCCCTCCAGTCCACGGAAAAAAAATCCCCTCTCCATGGATTTGATCCCTGGTGCCCAAAGGTTGGGGGTTGTTGCAATAGAAGCATAAATTGGCAAAGTTTTGTTGCATCTTTCAAACACTAGTTCTTGTCATAATCTAGTCTTCTTGCTGTCTTCACAACCCCCCCCCCCAAAATATGGCTTTCCATGTTGGCAGAGACAATCCTGCATAAGAATATATATTATTTCTTACCACCTCTAAGGATTGCCAATATTGTTGATATTGCATTGTATTATCCTTAGATCCACCTCACTCCTCTATTTTTATGTCAGTGTAATAGGAATGGGGATGCATTTACTTGCTCAAAGCAGTTTTCACCTTATTTTCCTATCACTGAAATCTAATGCAAACTTCCCAAAAACTTCAAATAAAATTCTACATTTACTTTTATAGATATTTATCACAGGTTTTAGAGAACCTCAAAGAAACATGAAATGTGTCTTTTCATATGTTCTATTGCCATTAAAGACTCGTCAGCCCTAACTTGTGAGCAATTGTTATGGGATATACTTCAGCAATATCCACAAGTATTCAAGATCCTCTGCATATGATAATAATCAATAATTTTGTTTTGAGGGCAGGAAATTGTAAATCATCTTTTATGGATCCATTTTAGTCTTAACTTTGTTCATTTATTTTACTATAATGTGATGCCCATTTTCACACTGCTGGGCCACCACCATTTTGGTTTTTAGTGACTGTGCATGTGCAGAACAATTTACATTGAACAGCGCATGCATGTTGCGTGTGGGTTGTAAGCTGGTAGTAAAACTGGCAGCAACCCACCCCTGCTGACAATGATAAGTGAATGCTAGTATAATAACTGTTGCCATACGGGCACAAGAATTCTACAAGTATTTAATAGTGTCTGAGGGGGTTTCATAGGATTCTTTATATCTTAGCTGTATCTGATTACACATTTCATGCTGCTTGACTAGCAGTTCTGACAGATGTTTTCTAACACATCTGGAAGGTATCTGGTAAGGAAGATCTGATTTAAATCTACCCCTTGAAGAATGTTTTTGTTAATGAATGCCTAAGTTGCTCATTCAAATTTGCCTACATTTTGTAGGCAAAAATGTAGCCTTGTTGAAATTTTGATACCTGCCAGTTACTGGAAAATATATCCATCCATACTCCCCATCCCACCCCCAGTCAATGAGAAGTTCAGTTGTAATCTAACCTAACATATCCATTGAAAGAAGAGCTATGTGAACTTCAGAGTTTATGCTTAACTTTCAGAGTAGTGGTTTCAGGATACACTTCACGTTTCTACATAAAAGGAAACTTAACACTGAATTGGAAGCACACAAAAATGTTACTGTCCCCTGTACTTTGGAAAATCTTAGAAAGAAAAGTGGTCTGCCTTAATACACTCAAAAATCTTAAGTAACCCATTTTAAAGATCAAATATTGGGAAAAAAACCAACCAATAATGACATATTACAATACACAATACCAAAAAGCCACTTTGATTCTTGAAAAAGAATGAGACACAGAACTCTAAAAGGGTTTTGATAATGAGCTTCTTTTCACACAAACCAAGCTGTTTTTCCATCTCTCTACAAACTATGTTTTCAGTGTTGCACCCCACCCAGTCTGTACTAGCACTGACTTGCCTCTTTTTTGTTGAACAAAAAAAAATGACTTTCCAAAACTCAAAACATGGCATCCACAATTCCCAAGACTTACTGGGAAAAAGAATATATTAATATCTCATTTGTAATGAAAACTAGTTTCTCATTCCAAAATGCAATCTCTTCCCACAAACACAAAATAAGCTATGTAGATGCATACATATCTGTGCACACCTTTTTTTGTTTGTTCTCTTTCCAGATGCATGATGTGGATACTTGCAAAAGAAAACAGAAGTTGCACACAAATAATATGTTTAGCCTTTAATGTGAACATAATAGCTAGCTTTTGTTTGCAGTTAATGCCCCAGGGACTAGACATCTCTGCCAAATTGCTGTTTCTGACATCCCTCGTTACTGGAATAAAAACACATGTTAACTTATAAAATAAACCTAGCTGCCACTGCTTTTTAATCTCTTTCAACCAATATATAGGGCTTTTCTTCATGGCTTTATTCATCTGTGTTCTTCTTCTTGAGTCAGCAGAAAAGGATTCCAAGGTTAATTGGACTGTGCTGACAACCCAATTCTAATTTGGCTCTGTAACAATGATGCTGCCTTTACAGGTTTCATACAGGATAAATTGAAGAAAGTCATTGGTGATTCCCTGGATTTATTTCTCTTCCCACTAAGCATCGCCTGCTGATAGGAAACCCAACACTAATTGGTCACCTTAACACGTTCTAGAGAGAAATGGGCTGATTGTGGCAGGTTCCCTTGAGAGAGGCTATAGCCACCACTCAAGTCCCCTGTATAACAGCTCAGCTACAATATTCCATGGCAGCAATCTATCATCCTGGATGTTTCTGACATCAGCACCGGAGGAATATAAAACCCATGTTTTTTTTAAAAGACCAGCCAATCAATCGTATGCATGGGGAAGTAAATAAAAGAGAGTTCTCTAGGTACATTGTCAGAGTCCCTCTCTCATTCCTTCTCTTTTTTTATGCATCCAAATTTACAGCTGAACAAAGGGGAACAGAATGACAATTAGTGGAAATTAGTGATTGTGGCCAACATCACTCAAAAGTCACTAGTGAGTATGAAAATGTCAGCAGAAGATAAAATGGCACAAATATTATTATCCACCAAATAATGCTAGAAATGAGTATAGCAACACATAAAACTTTGCTGGTAAAATGAAAATCTGTAATGAAAGTATCTAGAACATCCACAATACAAGTGTTACAATCTGATTCTCTTGTAGTCTCAACTAAACTGTATAGCACAGCATTAGTCCTCTTTTTTAATCATATGTAAATCTATCTTTAAAAGAAAACATGCTGAATATTATTTAGAAGAGCTCTACACCTGCATCATGTCTGACCAGCACCAGAGAAGCACTGTATAAGCAAAAACCTTGGCACACAGAATCTCTCTCCAGTTAAAGCCAAAATGACCATGGAGGGCAGTGCACAATGACCAGAAGGGAGAGTGTGCACCTGCAGCAATCGGAACTGGTTTATAGGACTTTGGCAAGACCCAGTCCTCATCAATACCAAACATCAGCATGAAGGAAATGCTGCAGTTCATGTCCATGACAAGACTTACAGTGGAAGGGGGTGGCGATAGAAAAATTATGGATTATAAACTGGAACAACAAAATGGTTGGTTGCTGGCCCATGAAGACTTAATAAAAACTTGATTAAATGTGGTCAGGAACAATTGGAAAAGTATAGGCACATTTTTCAAGGTAATAGGAAGTTTAAGAAGTAGACTGCAGTGCTCCATTTCTCCAGACAATGAGCCCCTCTGTATGGGAGATCGGCAGTTTTAAAATTAGATGGAAGATAGATAGATGATAGATGATAGATGATAGATGATAGATGATAGATGATAGATGATAGATGATTGATAGATGATAGA